AACCATGAAATCACTTAATTCCCCCATCAACACTGAATATGTTGATGGGGAATCCCTCCTGCTGCGCTATTTTATTTTGACATGGGGATGTTTTCCCACCATCAGAATACAATGATTACTGCTGCCCACTACAGCCGACGGGAGTAATCGTACAAAAAAAAAATGGGCTGGCTGGTTGTACTGAAGTTGATTAAGCTGGTTCCTGCTCAACCAGCCAAATTTTGATCTGTCTATGGCCAGCTTTGGTCCAGTTCTCCTCTGTTTGACATGTCCAGAAACTAGTTCCAGGGTGGAGGAAAATCCCTGAGTAGGCTGGGAGTTTACATAGAGCCCAAAACAAAAAGCCCCACTTCAGCTGGACATGTTGCCTAATCATCCAGCTCCAAAAAACCTCTGCTCTCCTACCTAATAGAAAATATATATATATATATTAAAGCAGAACACTGGGCAAAAATGTCTTTACATGTCCTTGTTGCTGATTTCCTACCTTCACTGTAAATGTCATCCATCTTCTGGTTCACTTAGTAGTTGCTTTGAAATAGCCTATTCACTTTCAAATCAAACCATTAATTGTCTTTGGTTTCCTGTTTGTAAGACCAGTGGCTGCTATGCCTCCTATTCCCCCAGCCACTGGTCTTGGCACATCCCTTCTGTAGTCCTTTCTCCAGGAAGCAATGGTGGACGAACCAAGACTCTCAGACACATTCAACATGTACAGGCCCAGTGTACCCACCCACACTCAGTACAATTCCCTGTGGATGATGGGAACTGTAGTTTCCTTTTACTGCAGAAAGGAGAGGATATGATGTAATCCCTGCTGTTATACCTCCTCCTTGGAAGGGCAGATGCTGTTATCTTTTGAATTACCGAAGTGAGGTCATGAAAATTCAAATTAGACATTTCTCCTAAATGGTAAGGATTTTCACAAATGTATTAACTGTTTAGCGTTTTGTGCAGGGGGGTGTACTAATGGGTGATTTCTTTTGTCCATCCTGGAATTCTTCTTTAACCTCCTTGGCGGTATGATTATTTCCGATTTTTTGTGCTGAAAGCGGTACCATTTTTTTGCATGGAAATATGTAGTTTTTTATTGTAGGCTGTAATTTTTAGGAATAACTCACTGAAATCTGTCTGAACAAGAGTCTAGTAAACATTCCGGATATGATAAAACTTGAAACACGAAATCATAAATTATAATTTAATAAATAATAAAAAAAAAATAATAATATAATAATAATATATTTAATTCAATAATATAATCAAACCAAAAACACTGAAATTTGAAATACAGAGGCAAATTCGCACATCGCTGAGCAAAGTCACAAAATCGTTTTCAGTGTCTGATGACGAATGTCCCCATGAATCATTATCACTCAATTCTGCAAGTGGTTCTGATTTACTATCGCTGTTCTCTAGCTGGTCTACAACCGCTTTTGACATAAAGGGACGCTTTTTGGACGCCATGGACTTTTCTAAGTTTCCAGGCAGAAAGAACAGTCAAAATGCAGGCAGGGCACAGGACAAAGCAGTAGGGACAAAATATATGTGAAATGCATTGAAACAGCAATGTTTTAGTATATAATAATATTTTTTAAAAAATGACACTTTTTAAAAATTTCAAATTTGCCGCCGGTTCTGGCGCCCGTACGTCCCGACGTCACAGGGACCCGAACACGGAAGCCGGATGCCGGCATCGGCCGGAGGAGATGGCCGGGGACGCTGCAGGGGACACATCGCGGGAGCGAAGGACAAGGTAAGTGCTGCAGGGACTCCCTGAGCAACGTCGCATGGTAAGCCCGAGTGTAGCTCGGGGTTACCGCTCTTGGTACTGAAATTTTACCCCGAGCTACACTGGGGAATACCGCCAAGGAGGTTAAGTAAACTACCCAAATCTGGGACATACTGTACATACTTCCCATCCTGGACACAACCACAGGTTTTTATTGGCCTGCAGTCAGCCTTTCTATAACTTAGTGTTATTCTGACTTTTTCTTCACAGTTACACTACGTTGGAGTATGTATAAAGGCCTACTTTTTTGTTTTTGAAAGAGTGTCCCTGCTGGGGAGATTCACCCCTCTATATTTATTATGGTGACCATTGGCACTGGGTGCTGGAACATCAAGTAAATTGTGTGTGGATTTAATTTCTATTGAAGTGTTGTTATGCCTAATGTGACTGCAATGTTACAATGAGACTGTAGATCATTGCCAACACAAGGAAGGATCAGCATATATTTTTGAGATAATGTAGCTTTTATAAAAATAAAAAAAAACACATTTAACTATTACATTTTGTTTAGGAGGCTTTAATGTTTTAGATTGTTTGGGATTTACAACTGTTTTAATACCTAAGGAATTCAATACTCCCTACTACAGTGATATCAAAAGGATAATGCTAACTTATTGTCATTCCAAAAGCTTGTTTTACATGAAAGGAACAAGATAAGGTACTCAGATCTTAGGGACAGTAATTAAAATCAAGTAAATAAGTATATAAAATCATTGTCCAATAATAAACTACAGTTCAGGGAACTTTGTCAGTATACTGAACTAGCCAGGCGAACAATACCTTGCTCTAAAACACTAATGGGCTTACAAGAATGTGCTAACAAGAATATTTCTTGGCCACAGTAACCAGCCAAAGTCCTTGTTTCAAATTCAAGTTAAAAACTGTAGAAATGGCAGCTGGAAGTTGATTGGTTGTTATGGACAAGAATAACAAAGAATGCAAACAGCAATTATGAGCGATACATTGTTAGTTCAGATTCAAGCTTATCTCCATGCAGGTGTAAAAAAACATGTTTTAATTAAAAATAATATATTTTTTTTCTATTCAACTAATTTAACCTCTTCGCACTGGCCACACGCAAATGTGCGGCCTCCCAGCATCTGAGTCTTGAAGCCAAGCGGCCGCACATTTGCGTGCAATTAAGAAAAACATATGTGCTGAGAGCGCATGCCCTGAGCGCTCCCAGCACACATGTCTGGTAGTGACGGAAAGGTCCCGATCTCCACTTTCGATCGGAAACTTTCCTGATCATGTGACCGCCGTGGCAGCGAATCACGGCGGTTACATGACCCTAAAACCACCCTGCCCTGCCTCCCAGCTTCTGAAACCCTTTAAAAGGCCGGGAGGCGCCGGAGCCAAGGGGTTAAGCTCCTGAATGTAACTGGTCATCAGCTTCTTCTAATCCCCTGCACAAAAGCACTTGGACTGGGACAGGCAAGGGTAGCAGTTTGGGCAATCAGGTGTGCTGCATACACAAGTTCTGACAAGGAACATTCTGATAGGAGGAAAAACAAGTAACAATGTGATGGGTTAATGATGCTTAGTCATTGTCCAATCACAGTCTGGAGGCAAGAAGGTGAGCTAGCTTTATTGTTTAACTGCAGCAGAAAAATGTCAGGTTACCTGACTCTCGCAGGACTGGATGGTCAGAAATACTAAAGCTTTGGCAAGTAAGACACCTGCCATATATGCACTTTGAGTATTTAGCTCTTTGCCTGGAGTTCAGCTTTAAGCTTTGAATAGTTTCTGAAGTGGGTATCCTTATGCCCCAAGAGGCAATCAGATATTGCCTAGATCAACTTTACCTATAAATGTTAGTATTCAGTTATACTATGTACATTTAGGAAAGAATCCAGACCTTTTTTAAAAGCAATCTACTGAGTTGGCCAGAACCAGCTCTTGAGCAAGTCTATTCCACATTTTCACAGCTCTCACTGTGAAGAAACCTTTCTATTTTTAAGATTAAATCTCTTTTCCTCCAGACGTAGAGAGTGCCCCCTTATCCTCTGTGATGACCTCAGGGTGAATAATTCTACACTAAGTTCACTATATGGACCTCCTATGTATTTATATATGTTGATCATATCCCCCCTTAATCTCTTTTTTTGAAGAGAGAATACATTCTGTTCCTTTAATCGTTCCTCATAGCTGATCTCCTCCATGCCTCTTTGCTTGCCCTTGTCTGCATTTTCTCCAGTTCCCTGGCATCCTTTTTGTGAACCGGTACCCAAAACTGAGCTGCATATTCCAGATGAGGTCTTACTAACAATTTGTACAGGGGCAAAATTATATCTTTCTCTCTGGAGTCTATACCTCTCTTAATACAAGAAAGGATTTTGTGCGCTTTAGTAAACCGCAGCTTGGCATTGCTTGCTATTATTAAGCTTATGATCTACCAGAACTCCCAGATCCTTCTCCACCATTTATTCCTCCAGTTGTACCCCCCTAGTATGTATGTTGCATGCATAGCTTTACATTTATCAACATTAAGCCTCATTTGCCACATAGTTGCCCAATTAAACACTGCATTGAGGTCGGCTTGTAAGTTGGAGACATCCTGTAAGGACATTATTCCACTGTATAGCTTGGTGTCATCTGCAAAGACTGAAATGGTACTTTAATCCCAGATCCTATATCATTTATAAATATAGCAAAAAGTAAGAATTCCCAAAACTGAACCTTTGGGTACACCACTAACAACCCTAGACCATTCACAGTATGAATCATTACCCCCTACTCTCTGAATACGACCTTTTAGCCAATTTTGTTATCCATTTACAAACTGATTTTTCCAAGCCTGTAGACTTACACATTACCCGTGTGTGGGGAAACTGTGTCAAATGCTTTTGCAAAATCCAAGTATACCACGTCCACCACCACCCCTCTGTCCAAGGTTTTGCTCACCTCTTCATAAAAAGAAATCAGATTTGTTTGACAACTTCTGTCTTTCATGGATACATGCTGTCTGTTTTTTTAAATATTTTTTTTTTTCAGAAAGAACTCATCTATGTGATCTTTAATTAAATTTTCCAACATCTTCCCAACTATAAAAGTTAAACTAACAGGTCTATATTTACTTGGTAAAGACTTTGACCCCTTTTTAAATAAAGGAACCACATTGGCCTTTCGCCAATTCAGTGGTACTATGCCAGTTATTAAAGAGTCCCTAATACACATTTCATTTGCTCAGTTTAATGTCACTTTTACAATGTTATAAAATATCATTACCTGAAAGTACTGAGGACATTGCTGCAAATGCATTGAGCTTCATTCCACATACAGGATTCCCAGTGTATAAAATTTCCAGTAGCAGAAGCCCAAAGCTAATTACCAATAGTGTAATGTACATCAGCTCAGAACCCAAGGACAGCCATAGAATTCCTAAAATGGGTAAATAAAAAAGCATAATTTTGTTAAGCATTAGAAGTGAATAATGCAAAATGTGTTTCATGGATCCAGCTGCCTGTTAAAAGTATACAATAACATTTAGCAATAATAAAAATTATTTAAAAAAAACTAGCAAATATATCCATCCATGAATGGCTTAATTTTGCCTGAAAGGTTTTTGGCTGTATGAATGATTCATAACACAATTGTATGCATTACTGCCTAATAAAATAGCTAATGCTGAAACCTGGCCCTTAATGGTATCAACAGCCAAATTCTTCTGCAACCCTGTTTGAAGAAACAACAGAATACTACCAATCACATACTTTCGTGGGTGCCATTTGTGAACCTCACACTAGGCAATGTAAGACTTCCAGGTTCTGTAATACATGTTCCAGGAAATTTCCTTTCTAGCACACAACAAGATGGGGATGACAGAATCCAACACTCCCCTATCTTTCAGAATCTATATTTCAATAGCCATGCTGTCAAATTTAATGACTGTAAAGCTAGGTGCAATATAGGACCTGGAGACAACAGGTCTTGCAGATACGGCAGGGCCCACTGCCCGTCTACTGCCATCTTCATTATGTCCGTGTACCAGGCCCTCCTGGGCCAGGCTGGAGCAATCAGTATAGCTGGAATAGACTCCTTCCGAATCCTGCATAAGAGATGTGCCAGCAGCTGGATCAGAGGAAAGGCATAAATCAGTAAGAACTGGTTCCAAGGTATCACTAAGGCGTCTACCCCTGCTGTGAGAGGGTCCCTTACCCTGGACACAAAAGATCGAACGTGTTGTTGAACCTGGATGCCAAGAGATCTAGATCCAGGCAACCCCATTGCTGGCTGACTTCCTTGAAAACATGAGGATGCAAAGCCATTCCCCTGGAATCAACTGCTGGTTACTGAAATAATCTGCCTGCCAATTTTCCACCCCTGGAATTATGCTGTTACACAGTTAATATTTATGTTAATGTACATGAGAATTCATATAGTTTATTCTTTGTACCATTTCCTATGGATATTTCTATAGTTAGTTATGCTGCCATCCAGTGGCCTTATTTGGTAATGCATTTGTTTTATATTACCTCCCTGAGATCTATGACACAGTTCCTTTGTATATGAAGCTCCTCCCTTCTTCTTGAGTTCAGCACTTCCTGTGTCATGGAGGCAGCTAACAGACCACATGTAACAGGGACACATGTATTCTGCATAGTACGCTACAGAAAGTATCATCTTTTGACCGCATAATACTGGAAACCATTCATTCTGCTGTATCCTGTTTCACATGTACAGAATAAAGCAACTTCTGGATGAACACAGTATTGGTGAGTTCAAGCTATCTGATAAGGATTGTCCACAGTGATTATATCTGCTTATACAGGCTAGGCAGAGAGGTCTCACAAGGGATAAATCGCTATCACAACAATCTGAGTCAGAATAGTCAAAAGATGCATAGAATCCCTACAGCCTGCTGTGTATATGTGTGTGCCTAATCTGCAATCAAGCTCAGTGCCATCCGCCATCTTGCAAAGCACATGGTCGCACAAGCTTACTGCACTTCATGTGAATGTTGAAAAACTGTTTCTCTGCATTGAACTGTGTTACCCCACCTGTCTAAGCTGCTGTTCGTCTTCTTAAAGAGACAGTACCAATTTTTGCAGAACAGTAAAAAATGTCTAGACAAGGCTCTGAACACTCCTTTATGGCCGAACCAACGCAGATACATCATTCCTCTGAACCAGCAGACGTACAGGGAGCAGATTCTGGCAGACATTCCCGAACAGAGCGTAAAACCCAAACGTACAATAAAACCACACAGAAACTCAGGGAAAACTATGAAGCCACTAGAGATGAGTTCTCCAGTAATCTGTCAGACCTCTGGGACCGAACTTCACAATGCATGTCAGTTTTGTCACACTTTAATGATCAACCAGCTGAATTAAGAGACTCTATAAATCGCCTATCTGCTGCGTATGAACGCTACCAGCGGCTGTCTGTAAAATACTCAGCTTTCTTGCAGGACTCTAATATAGAGGATTCTTCAGCAGAACTGACCAGGACTGATGCACTAAACCAACAAAGGGATCTTGCAGTGCAAAATGCTAAGTTTAAAGCAGAACTCCGCATTACTCAACTGCAGGAGACCAGATCTCACAGATCCACCTCAACCAAGCGCACTGCACTTTCTTCTAGATCCTCTCGCTCCAGAAGTTCGACGTTAAGCGATAAGCTAATAGAGGCCCGCGCTGATGCTGAATCAATCAAAAAGGCGCAAAGCTCTTTTACCAGAAAGGAAGCAGAGAGAAGCACGCAAGATAGCTCAACAAGCAAGATAGAAGCTCAGCAAGCAAGATGATAGATGGAGCTCAACAAGCAGAGATGATAGCTCAAAGCAGAGCTAGCAAAGCTCACAAAGCTCAGCAAGCAGCAGAGATGGAAGCTAAAAGCAAAGCTCAGCAAGCAGAGATGGAAGCTAAAAGCAAAGCTCTCCAAGCACAAATGGCTTCTCAACAAGCAGAGGCAGATTCCCAAATAAAGATTCTGCAGATGGAAGGGGAGGAAGCAGCTTCCCTAGCAAGGCTGAAAGTCCTTGAACAAGCAATGGGACAAAGTACTAATTCAGACTGCCTTATCCCAGCAGAACTGGAAGATCCAGTTGAACGCACCAGTGAATACGTATTAAAGCATAAACATTTGCGAAGATACAGAGTCATCTCCTGTACCTCCTACTAACAACACTGTTCTGACTCTCAACACAGAGACCTCTCAGCTCCATATGCCTAAGCCTCTTCAAATCTACAACACAAGTACATCTATGCAGCAAACCACATCAACTCCTGCCAACAACAAGGTGACTTCCAGTGACAAGTCGCAGCTCAAGCCACAGCCAGCACAAGCCTTAGAGACTACACCACAGTTAAACGCTCATGCAACATCATTTTACCCTGGTAAACCTCACCCTACATCACCAGAGAACTTTCACACCCAAGGGGTTCCACAAGTTACTTTGGCACCAAAGAGTGAGAGATCAGACTTGAATGACTTTGCCAGATATATGATTCGCCGTGAGCTCATTAACACCAGCCTCTCAAGGTTTGACGACTGTCCAGAGAGCTACAGGGCCTGGAGATCAACCTTCAAGGCTGCTATTGCTGATCTCAACCTTACTACTAAGGAAGAACTTGATTTGCTCATAAAGTGGCTGGGACCAGAATCTGCAGATCGTGTTAAAAGACTGAGAACAGTACATGTTGACCACCCAGACGCAGGTCTTGTTGCTGCATGGGCAAGACTTGAGCAAGCCTATGGTAGCTCTGAAGCCATAGAGAGCGCTCTATTCAAGAGACTGCAAAACTTCCCAAAAATAGGAAACAGAGACTATCGCAAGCTCCAAGATCTAAGTGACCTCCTCATGGAGCTAGAGTTGGCAAAGACAGACCCACGTCTATCTGGACTAAGCTTCCTGGACACCGCTCATGGTGTCAACCCAGTGGTGTCTAAACTGCCATACGGCCTGCAAGAGAAATGGGCACAACAGGGCTCAAGGTACAAAAGAGACTATAACGTATCCTTTCCTCCATTCTCATACTTTTGCAGGTTCATTAGTGATCAAGCCTGGACGAGAAACGATCCCAGCTTCAGCTTCAGTGAACCAAACTTGCCTGCTTCATCCTCATCATCATCAAGGTATGATAACACAGCAGCTAAACGTAGAGACTGTACTAGAGCAATATCTGTTAAAAGGACAGACATCTCACCCTCCACAACCTCACCTACTGACCAAGGCATTGTGGATGCCAGAGATAAAGACCCTAATCGTCAGTGTCCTATTCACAAGAAGCCTCACCCTCTTAAGAAATGTCGTGGGCTTAGGGCAAAGCCTTTACAAGAGCGCAGGGAGATTCTCCAGAAACTTGGAATATGCTACAAGTGCTGTGCTTCTTATAACCACTTTGCTAAAGACTGTAAAGTTGTCATCAAGTGCACAGAATGCGGTAGCGACAGACATGTTACAGCCATGCATCCTACTCCACTTCCAGACAACCCGCAGCAGCTACCTACCTCAACCCCTGTCTCAAATTATGGCGGGGAGCAACAAAGTCATGCTCTAGCCAAAAGTAATGTTTCTTCTTCATGCACAGAAGTCTGTGGAGAGGGACTGGATCACAAATGCTGTGCCAAGATATGCCTAGTCAAGATATACCCAAAGGATCATCCTGAGGAAGCTGCTAGGATGTATGCCATAATAGATGAACAGAGCAACAGATCCCTGGTTAAGCCTAAATTCTTTGAGATCTTTGGCTTAGAAGGTCACGCCACACCGTATACTCTCAGAACCTGTTCTGGTCGTGTAGAGACCTTTGGCAGAAGGGTCGATGGATTCATGGTCTCTCATATCAAGGATGGAGAAGGCATACCCCTCCCAACATTAGTTGAGTGTGATCAGATACCAGACGAAAGAGAGAGAGATTCCTACTCCAGAAGCTGCATATCATCATCCTCACTTAAGGCACCTTGCTGATGAGATTCCTGCGATGGACAAGAGTGCTGAAATCTTGGTCCTGCTAGGAAGAGACATTCTCAGAGTACATAAAGTACGCGACCAATGCGATGGACCTGAACGATGCCCCTTATGCACAAAGACTTGACCTAGGCTGGGTAATAGTGGGCGATGTATGCCTGGACAGAACGTCATCTCAGATCCACTCCTTCAAAACTTACATGTTGGGAAATGGACGTGCATCCCACTTCAAACAGTGCCCTCACCATTATGAAGTAAAGGAGAAGCCTCTTGACATCATCCAAGTACCTGATGTTACTCCTGTTCTTTGTGATGACAACCTAGGTACCACCACAGTGTTTTGTACTACAAGTGATGACAACAAAATAGCCTTGTCAGTCGAAGATAGAGAGTTCATCAAAATAATGGACAAGAATTCTTCCAGGATGAGTCTAACAGCTGGATCGCACCATTACCTCTTCGTGCTGCA